ATTATGAGGACTATAGCCATAGTGATCTAGGTTCAAATTTGTTGCGATGTTGAGGATATATGTGGACAAAGGAGCTGTATTCGAAAATTTTGAGTACACTGGGAAAGATGATTTGAGTATGAGAGCAAGTTTGGAGGGTAGTTTGACTAGGACTTGGAAACTTAAACTTTGAGAAGGCGTACTCTTGATGAGAAATTTTGTAATTAAGACATCTTCCCCAATAAAAATTTTAGAACACATGAAGTAGACATGATTGTTCTAGTTACTTCCATCATATGTCTATTGTTTATTTCAACAATCCCGTTTTATTTTGCAGTGTAAACATATATGCATTGATGAACAAACTATTGATCCAACAAGTAGGAGCCAAGGGAGTGGTAGTATTAATGCCCGGATTTAGCTTGGAATTGAGGTTGCAACATCTTCTTGAAAATTTTAAAATTGAGCTAATTTAAAATTTATCTTTCATAAGTAATAACCACATGACTCTAGAGTGATAATTAATGAATGCAATGAACCATCTTCAACTAGTGAGATATGGTTCCTTCACATCCCAATGGATTAGGGAAAAATAAAGGGATTGTTTGTATGATTGACTAGATAAAGAGTTGCAAACATTTATAGAAACTGAAGATTTTCATGTTGAGAAGATTCATAATTTTGTATGAATAACTAGAGGAAAATCCTTTTATATATAATAAATTTAGATGACCTAAGAGATAGTGCATAACATGATGATATTCTCGTTACTCATGTTAGAAAATGAAACTACAAATGCCTTTTTCTGTGATTATCACTTGAGTTCTTTTAGAAGGAGTTAGAGATCAACAATCTTAACCATGTCAATCTTTTTCCTCAAATCAAATACACATGGGAAATGTAGCATCCATGTGATCAAAAACAACTAATTCAATAATCCAGGGTCTTTCTATTCCAGGAGAGTTCAAAGAGTTATCTTTTTCAACAATAGAAGCTGAGTCTCAGGTGCAATATGTAAACAATACTTCATTTTGTGCATATCTACCAATTAGTTATAAGGGATTTCCGAAGTGTCCTACAAGAAAAGAAGTACCCAATACAAAGGAAGCTAGAAAGTAATCATTTAGTTGTGCCCGTATTTTTGTAGATTCACAGTAAACAGTGAGTGACGGATCAACCTGAGAGCCTAGGAAGACGATCCGCTGCCTGAGAAGCATGTTTGTGGTGTCGAGCTCGTCGAACCTCGGCAACCAAGCAGAGCCAGACGCGGACAGATTCCAACCCTCCGATATTGTCCTTCGCCCCAATACTGAAGAGGCCATGATCATGCCGCTGGCTCTTCGGCTCGGTGGCGGCGGGGCAGTCGCCGCAACACGAAAGCAACGACTAACTGGGGTAGGGAAGAGGCCATGAGAAAACATAAGAGAAGAATGTTTCGAAGCGGAGACAGCAGGAGGGCACGGGAGAAGCGAGAGGGACGAGGAGAAGGCCTCCATTTACGGGAAAGAGATGCTTAGATGCGTAGAGAAGTAGCAACGCCCGTATCCCTTAAAGATCGTAGTCAGGTTATCTCCAACGGGCTAGGCAAATTATTATAGGTCCGGATATTTATAAAATATTATTTTAAGTTAAACGTGTCAAAAATATAGGTAAAGTGCAGGTAAAACGTAGTCAAAGTGCTGTCAAACAAGTAGGGGTGTCAATTTTTGACACGACCCGAAACACGACCCAAACCAGACCCGGAAAAATCTGGGTTCGGGTCAACCCGAACCCGAAACGGGTCGGGTTCGGGTTGACCCAGCAACCCGAAATTGATCCGAAATTGACACGAAAACTCATATTTGACCCGAAAACCCCCGAGATTGACCCGTTTTTTACCCTTTTTTGACCTGAAAATCGAATATTGACCCGATTTTTGACCCAAAAATTAGCAATTTTAGGTCAACTTCGGGTCATTCGTGTCGGGTCGGGTTGACCTGAACTCGAATCGGGTCGGGTTCGGGTCCGGAAACCTGCCCCGTTTTTAAAAACGGATCGGGATCGAGTTGACCCTAACAGTGCCGGGTCAGTTCCGGGTTCGACCCGAACCAGACCCGAATTGACACCCCTACAAAAAAGCACAGTCAAAGCACAGTCAAAGCGCAGTCAAAGCGCCAGTGACATGACAAGTTTTAATTGGATATCCAGACCTATTTTTAGATCCGATGACCGGACCTAATAATTTGCCCGCCTCAAGAGAGTGGGAGAAATTATTCTGTGCCTAGTCCAGATGCATCCGCGATGTCCACCAGGAAGAAGGCTTAAAGCCTTAAACGCTTTTTTTCAATAATTGCTAATTTTTAAGTAAAATTTGAGCACCGAAGCTTAATTTTATAAATAAATTTTGAACTTAAAAAAATAATGGATTTGAGCTTCACCAAAATTTTAATCTCACTCCACGGGATTAGTTGCATGAATAACTTTACTCCATTATATTCAATTAAGAAAATTACAGGTGATGAATATAGAGCTTTTCTATGATGGTCGATAAATTGAAGCAAGGTATGATCGAGTAATAGAAAAGGGCTAAAATGGAGACAATCAATTAGCAACAAATTGGATGTTTTGTATTTAAAGAACAAGTGGTGGTGAGATTCATTTACTTCATGGCAAAGTTGACAAATTTGGCTAACTTGGATAACAAGATGTAGTGTTGAGTTTTACATACCTCGTAAAGATCATTCATCTATACAAATATCCATATCAAAGTAATTGGAAAGAGTGATCATCGTAATAAAACTATCAAATTGATCAACATCAGTTGCTCAGCCTAAGGTCAACTCCTAGGGTTTATCCATTATGGTATGAAGGTTGTGGAACCATAGCCGATAGTCGCCATCCCGAAAATTGTTGCATGTCATCGCCCAAGTTGAAGTTTTGTAGTTTTGGTGCGCATTAGCTCTCTCATGCTAGAACTTTAATCCATATTGGTTTGGATTAATCTACTTGAACATGTTAGATACACTTGTTGACAACTTTTCTTTTAACATCTTCTTTGTCACTTGGAACTCTCCTCGGCCATTCAAAATTTAAGTATCCCTGGATCACTAGATCTCTTGTTTAACTTCATTTATACTGAGCAATTCATATTAATCCAATGCCACAACAACATTGATTGCTCGCTGATCAACTCTATCATCTTCACATATCTTAATCAACATTTCTTGTTGAGACTTCTCTAACACCTCGCTAATGGTTCAATTAGGATAAATAACAAAAGCTTGTTGAATTTCTTTTGAATGCATAATTTACTAAAAAAAAGCTAATTCTACCCATAAATATTATAAATTAATAAATAACAAGCTTTTTGTGCTCCTAGATATCTACCTAATCATGCCAGCTTGCAAATTGACAAGTCAAGTCTCATCAAACTCAAACTGCATCTCATTTAATATGCAAGCTTGAGTCTGAACTCGTGGCTCAATAAGATCAACTCGCAAGCTCGCTAACAAGTTTAGTTCCTACTAATTCATGAGCAAGCTTGCCTCATTTTCACCTTTACATTTTGGGAAGCTCCATGTATTCTATGCACATATTATTCAATTGTGGTTATTTTATAATCAAATGATTGAAAATCATTCATATAGTCTTAATTATGTAAATAAATAAAATCCTAAACTTCTAAATGGTAAACCCACAAAATTTTAGGATTTCTTTTCATTCTGCTTCACTTTCCTTCAATGCATGAAATCTCTTCTCCTTTCCACAGCAAAAAGCTTCTATCATGGATCTCATTTGAACAAGATGCTAATATATCAGCCAATGCCTTCTTTTGCCAGATGAAACAAAGCAACCTTGAGCTGATGCCATGGTGACACTATCAAAAACATGATGTTTTCAGAGTACTTTGTAGTGACTGTTTATAAATCGCTGCTATAGATAGATTTAGAAGCAGTTTTAACCCTTATCAAAATCTCCTAAATATTTTTATCTTTGACAGCCAATTAGTTAAGGAGGTTTTAAAAGCCGTTGCTGTAGGAAAAATATGCTTCCCCCATTTTATTGTTTGATGCCCTAGCCACCAATCTCGCCTTAGTCCGCCCTCCCAATCTCTCTCTGTCGTGATCCAGATCGCTCCCTCTCTCCCACTGTTCATGTGAGAGCTCCAGGTTTTCGGCATTTTATCTTTAGTATTTGTTTGAGGCTCATTGCTGATTTTATGAGCAGGACGATCAATTTTGCTGCTACAATAAACCATTATGTGAACACATATTTGCATTTGATACCAGATTTTTTTACGGCCAGTTTCTTGAGCTCCAACGTGAGGGAAGAAGGTGATGAATTACTGAATTATGCTTCAGTCAATCAGTGGGTGGTATTTTTTTTTTTATTGCTACTGATCTTTGCTCTATTCTCATAACATTTGTAAACTTAGAAGTATTCTATTCATGCATTCTTTATAAAGTGTACTTTTGATGCTATTTATAGTGATTATTTATCATCACCTAATAAAGAGAATATTGTTGCATCCTGGGGTATTCGCTGTGATAGAGAAATATAAATTTAAGATATTAATTTTATATGAAGATCCAACACGCAATCATATGAGAGAGAGGGCGTAACATTTATGAGACACCAATATTTTTATGTGAAAAACCCTTGAAAAAAGGGGAAAAACCACGGGGGTCTAGCCCAGTTTGAATGAATCCACTATTATATGCAGTCGATTACAAATGAGACCCTTCATTAGGGGGAAGGCCTTGGCTTGATGTACATTATATGAAGTACATTATGGGAATACAAAGAGTCACCGTTGACGTGTTCTTTTGGTCGGAAGGATTGTAATCGATGAGCGACGTAAGTCGAAAAGACCGTTGTCTGACGACGACTGTCAAAAGGACGACGTTAGGTAGAAGTCCAACAATAGACATAAATCTAGCATCGGATAGATGTCCGGTGAAAGTCTGACAACGGGCAGATGTCTGGCGTCAGGTGGAAATATGGCGACGAGCGGAGGTCTGGCGTCGGTTAGAAGTCCGATATCAGTCGGCGGCCAAGGAGAACTCCGGCGTTAGTTGATATTTAGGCAAAACTCCAGAGTCACTGGGAGATCAGATAGAATTATGGCATCACTTGGAGATCGGGCGGAGTTTCGGCGTCACTTGGAGATTGGGCGAATTTCGGCATCACTTGAAAGTCGAACGAAACTCCGACATCACTTGAAAGTCGGGCTGAACTCCAACGTCACTTGAAAGTCGGGCGGAGCTCCGACGTCACTTGAAAGTCGGGCGGAGCTCCGACGTCACTTGAATGTCGGGCGGAGCTCCGGCGGTGGTCGAGGAGGAGTTTCTTCCCTCATTCTCTTCTTCTCTTATCTTCTTCTTTTTCTTCTTACTTGCTTCGGTCCACTCTTAAGAGAAATGATGGGCTATTTATAGTTTTTTGAGAATGACATGACCCGTTAATAGGAGGAGGATCAAAGGCAAATGGGGAGTGGTTTGGATGGACGGCCAATATTGAATCCCTTGATTGTGGACTATTCGTCAGACATTTGAAGGCTTGTTGGATTCGTCTCGTCGAGTCGCACAATTCGACTATAAGCATGCCATGTTTGGAAACCGTTTGGTAATCCAAGTGGTTTGAACCTTCCAACAGCACTTCGGGTCTTTGATTTAGACATATTTGGGCTCGGATTGGATTGAATTGAATTTGGTGTCGTTGGGTTTGTATTTTTCAACGTTAAGAGGTTATGATTTTTTGAAACACTACAATTCGAGCTTAGATGATCCCATATTTAATTTTTGAAGCTTCCGGACTGATTTTAATTGCCTCGAGATTCGTGCCCGGTCAAGATAATTTTTGATGATATATCATAGATTGTGCAACTTATCATTAATTTTTATAGATATTCATTAATTTTCATATATTTTTACTAGTAAATATTCAACAATTTTTATATATAAATCAATTTTTCATTAAAATTGCATGGTGTTGTAAACAAATTTGACCATTAAATCATTTAGGTTTTTTTTTTTTGCGACGGCTTTTTTCTTACTTCTTAAAGC